TTGCCGTGTATGAAGCTCTTGTGATTCTTGTGTCTTCAAATTCACGGGCGGGTCCAGGCCGCATCTATCTTCCCCTACTTGCAGGTTGAAGCGGGCTGGCACATGGTGTGAGGACCGTTTTGCTTTAAGCCGGCGGCTGCCAAAGAGCAGCAGGTTGAGGTGACTTGCGCTCAGCGCAAAGGCAACCTTGCAACCAAATGACGACAATGAAAAGGACGATGATCACGACATGGTCAGAGACGTGTGAGACGCCAATTTGGGGTCCATATCATATGGTCTATGAAATTCTGGTCGGTACGACCCACTGATTCTGAATTCTGAATCATACTTCAACACACAAACTTGACGGCTAAAATCTAAATGCCATTGTGATAGTTCGATATCCGATAGGCTTGACACAGTTTATACACATGTACTTACATGTACTTACTAGCGCAAATTTCAATTAGGGATATGTTAATTAGAGATTGAGATATTCGTATGGATACGCCACGCCTGCAAAAGCTTGCCCGCACGTTCAAAGGCTTACCCTGCGGTGAAGCCATCCCAGCAGGTGCATCCGAGAAGCATCTACGGCAACATCGGCATGCGGCAGTGCAGCAGCAAATCTGGCCAAGGTCCACCGAGGTGAAGGTGTGAGTTTGTGGAAACCGCTTGGCCCCTTCATCCAACTAGTGCATTTCACAGGCTTTGTCAATATGTACGCTTGACGTAGCCTTAGCTGAACCGAGGGTACACAAGGGTACGGTATAGTTGTCAAGAACCCAGGATCGAGAAAAACTATCTTTGATTCTTTTGCATCGTCGACTGTGTGGGAAAAACTGTTTCGAGGATCAAAACCATTGCCGCGCTGAAGATCGAACTGATTGCCGGGCCAGCATCTGATGCCTGCCAAACGCACAGGAAAAAGAGCCCTGCAAGCACGGGACTGCCTTAGTGACAGCCAAATTCCACATCAACCCATTAACGCAAAGTCCGCGTCTGCAAGCATTCTTACAATCTCGATCAATCTACAACTAGTTCTAGTTCAACTGTCCAGCTACGCAGCACGATGAAGGGAGTCACACCAGCGTTACCCACACCCGATTAAAGGAGAGCTCCAATCGGACATGTTTCTAGATCCCCTGTGCCCTGGTTCTGTGAATTCGCTTTTGAATGCTTGACATCAGGCTTCCAGAACTTGGTCACGGGCCGAACAGCAGCAAACCGAAAAGGTACTCCTCGCCCAACCAACTCTCAGGATCTAAAACAAAGCCACTACTGTAGGTAATTACTAACTGTTGCATACTTTTGCCAAAGGTTCCCTGCCGACCCCTCTTGCTGGTCCCCCTTCACTTTGCACAGCAAGATGCATACTACAGTGCACATGAATGCGACATGGACTGGCGAACCCATGAAGGGTACCCGATTCCCTGTTTGGACTGAAACGCAATGTCCGCATATTGGTTTTGGCCCGACGACCTGTGAAGATCGACATTTATTTGGATCCCATCCAGCCCTCGGGTCCATAAGGGGCGCTGTCCTGAATTTGGGCTTCGCATTCGCCTTGCCCACACGCACACACATTTGGAAGAGTCAACCATGAACAACGGGCAGAAGTAGAGTGCGTTGCGGTTCACCAAGTTGGGGACACCCACCGACCCATTGCAGCCTTTTGAGAAAGTATAGAACAGCAAGCCAAGCGTCGGCTAAGGTTCTAGGACACGACAAGAAAGGTAAACATCTGCTCAATCCCTCCAACAATGTTGTTTCAAACTCAGGGATCTATGACAGGCACGGTCATGTTTCATCTGTCATCTAGATTTGAAGCACTAAAAAGGCAATGGCGGCCAATGGATGCAAATGGACCCCGCAAATTTCTCACCATGCTTTACCTTGGGTCATTTCGATTCCCTCGTAGATATGGCGGCCTAGGACATGACAAATGCTTTGAATGGGTTAGTGACATAAATTCGCAGAACCCGTGATCCAAGCTCTCGACTGGACACGGTCTTGTCGACCTGGCAGCCACTGTGATCTGGTAGATTGGAATGGGCCCTCCGAGGTTTGGCGTGAAGAAAAAGACTCTGACTATACTGTGACTATACTATACTATACTATGCTATACTATACTACTACTATACTAAATAGACTCAAAACACAGAGGTTGCATAGGAGTTGAGGCCGAGTGAGATGGGGGATGGGTAACCTGAGTCCTGGGTCCTAGGTCATGATGGAAGCGCTTTGCCCACTATGGGTGCAACAGGATTGCATTGGCTTGCATCAGCAGCCTGGTGATGCTTTGCATGATCTCGTTTGTGGCTGTATACTTTTGCCTCATGACATGTCATTTATGCACTCCGGCCAAGAAACAGGTCAAAGCAAATGACTTGGGGAATGTGCCAGTTCCCACGTGCATTTCCTAAATCAAAGTGATCCGGACATAGACATGGCATAATTTACTACAGGAGCAGCTTGCTCCAAGAATGTCCACATTGTTTCGCACTGCGGTGGACAACACATACTGCTGCTGCCTGGCGTAAAAATTGCAGGTTGAGTCAGAATTGATCTAGTTTTAGATCCCAAGGCCTGGCATGAACCATGTTCATGCAGATCGCGCAAGGCCCTGGAACTCCCCATGTTTTGTGCACAGCTAGCCTGGACTGTTTCAGTCTGGGGCCCAAACAAATGGGCAAGCACGGATTAAGGGCAACAAGAAGTTCTCGCCGCGATATGCCTGCAGCCACAGAGTTTGCGAGTGATTGGAGCATCTGTTTTGATTGGAATGTCTTGGATGCCTTTTGACCAGTACATCATAATATATCCATACCAGTACCTCAAAACAAAAACAACAAACGGCAACAAACGTGCAACATGGCAACGGTTCTCCGTTGGACATCGGTCGTCACATCGGTCGTCTCCACGCCTGGAGCAAGACCCTGGACTCAGCTCCTTCCTGACGAGCATGCCCAAATGTGCCCAAACTGCCACACCGAACGTGCCTTCATAGGCATTCTTCCCCAAAAAGCCAAACCCAGCAGCTGGCTAGATCAGGCCAGTTGTAGCATTGTAGCATATTCACATCGAGGATTTGGGGTAGACTCTAGACTCTAGAGCATGTCCGGCCTGGGTGTCAAAGGCTTGTGGTGTATAGTCCAGCCTCCCGAAAACCGAAGGGGGGACACCGCGTCCCATTACGACAGTGACCTCCACGTCTCGGATATGGGTGCCTCTGCACAACTGCAGGAAGGCACATGTGCAGCGCTTTCAAAACGTACAATAGATATCAATAGATTGCCTACTCATGGAAAATCCTGCCCTCACCGTGCGTGCGTCTGTCAGTTGTGCAGCTACCAGCCTCAGAAACGAGTAGTGTAGGTTTCAATGTTTCAACTTACTGTAGATCTGTAGGATTCTGTAGGTGCATTATCATGCATTCCATTCCCTAAATGCATTCCAGCAGCACAAAATGGCTCCAGTTGGACTCAGTTGGACCGTGTGGTGGTTTCTTGCTTCCAAAGCCCTAGCGACAAATTCCAAAGCCCAAAAGTACGTTCCCCTTGCTGGCATAGCTGTGGAACAAAACTAGAAATTTGATTTACTGATGATTCGAAATTCATGCCCAGGATTTCCACGCGCAGTTGCGCACTCACGGTGCCTGTACTCTACCATTGTATACCATCTCCGATCAACCGCAAAAGCATACGTAAAAAACAAGTTGTAGTCCTGCAGCCAGAGCCCAAACCATGCTCCAGTGCTGGGAGCCCTTACGTCTCATCAAGCTTCGGTGGAGGACTCACCACGTCTTTGCAGTAGTCGGCTCGTTCGGCCTCAGCCCGTGGCCGCGAGGAAGGGCAGCGGGCCATCTCTGCTTGAAGTATGACATTTGCACTGAAATTCATCATCTGTGGAAGCTTAGGAAGTTGAATTCCTTTTCCACGCCGGGCTGCTAACTTTTTTTGGGATTCAACAATTAGTTGGGACATATTTTATTCTAAAGAGAATATAAATATATAGTAGCGTATAGTCAAAGTAGAATCTATACGAATAATTTAAAGTATTACAGTATATTATATATCTCAATAATGTTAAATCCAAATTAGTATAATGGGACGGAAGAATAAACAGTTTTCGCCCAATTATTCACACACCCTGATTAGCTTAATGGGTCGGAATAACAAAACGTTTTTTCGCCCAGTGATATCTTTTTGAGATTTGTTTGTTTTCTATTGTTCTGCTATTGCTCACCCTTCAACATCCATATTTAACTCTCCTGAGGTTTGCTTGATTCATAGAATTCTGACCTGAAAGTCGTTTTCAAACACGCTTATTAAAACTAAACGCTTTCATTGCTCCAAATAAATTGTTCAAGGGGCTAGTACACAAGCCCAGGGTAATTGAATAGTATGAATTGTTCTGCTATAGCTGCCCTTTCAAATCCTTAGTTATCTCTCCTACTACTACGACTACCACTACCACTACCACTACGACTACGACTGCTACTGCTACCACCAACTACTACTAACTACTAACTACTAACTACTACTAACTACTACTTACTACT